GTCGTGTATTGATGTTGTAACCCGCTGTCAGTGAGTCTAATCTGTTATGCCTCGTCAAGTCTGTTATGCCTCGTCAAGTCTGTTCATGCCTAGTCAAGTCAAGTCAAGTCAAGTCAAGTCTGTGTATCTAGTCTTCGTCTGTTTGGGTTATGTTTGGATCACCTGTAAATAAACTGCACTTGGGTTCTCACTTACGCTCGCCTTCAGTGGATGATTCGTTACACAAACAGACCTGATTCAACTCATCAGCACATTAATAGAGACTACAAGACCTGAAATGGGTGTGTCAGATGAAGGAGACATGCAAAATGTGCAATGTTGGGGGTACTCCAGGAATGTGGTTGGGAGCCACTGCTCTAACGTAGGTCTAACAATTCAAAAAAGCGCAATATACAACTAAAATAACTCCAGTTTTTACACATGACAACAAATGCCATTTGAAATATATGTAAACTGATTTTGTCTTGATTACAATTTGCAAAACTTTTTTGTAAATGTACACTGAACAAAAATATAAACGCAACACTTTTGTTTTTGCCCCCATTTTTCATGAGAAAAAGTCTTAGATCTTTGAGTTCAGCTCATGAAAAATGGGGGCAAAAACAAAAGTGTTGCGTTTATAATTTTGTTCAGTGTATTATTGTAGGAAAAATCAAAAGAGAAAGCAGTGTTAGCATTAATACCCTTTTGAAGTGGAAATTTAATGCTGCGTCATTGTTGACGCTATGGGAATTCCTCCATTCTCTCTCAGAGTAAAGAATGCTTGGTCAGCTCTGGAGTAAGCTGGCTGTGCTCACTGTGACGTGTTCAAAGTGAGGAAGCTACACTCCCGCCTGGCTCTTTTTAAGAGGGATGGGAGCCAGGCGACTGCAGCCCGCGGTTTGGGTCCCGCTGCTGCCGAGGCGGCTCGCTGACTCTGATTGTGGGGCTTGCAGGTAGAGCTTGCCAAGGAGCTTGAGATGGGCCTAGCCCTTTTTCCAGTCTTGCTTGTTAGCTTATTAGCTCTACTGAGCATGCTGTTGGCACGCCATAACTTTGAGAATCTAGATGTGATGGGTTGAGGTGGATGTACAGAGCAAACCATCCTCCTCCTCCTCAGGGGTTGGCTGAGCATGGGTGCATAAGCATACCCCAGGTGGAAGAAGCGCTTGCAAATCCCCTCTCCCCTGGTGTGGCATCCTCATGGAAGGATAACATCTAAGCTTGTGGGCTTATGTTGCGGTGGGCCAGCCTTGTTGGGCTTTGCACACCATGGGTGTGCTCCCAGCCTACCAAGCTGACCTGTTGAGGGACCACGACCGAGGTGAGAGACTGTCCCAGAGGCCACACCACAGATTTTGCCCTCCATGCCATCAAGCAGGCGGTCTGCGCCATCGGCCACTCACTTGCTGCCATGGTTGCCACGGAGCAGCATTTGTGGCTTAACCTGTCTGTGCTAAAGGAGAAGAACAGAGCCTTTCTCCTGGACTCCCCGATTTTGCATTCAGGACTGTTTGTTCCTGCCTCAGAGGAGTTGGGTTAGAAACGACCTTAGGGATGTAATCATGGATAAGCAACAGCATAAGCCAAAGCCCTGAAGCCCCACTTATTTTTCCATTCCCCAACCCTCCCCTTCTCCCCTCACACCTCCGTTAGAGTAGGGGTGTTGGGTTACAATAGGTTGTTATATTGGAAGTATATATATTTATATATGTTTATTTAAAAAGAGGGGAGAGAGAGATATTTGTTTCTTCTTCTGAGATGTGAAGCACTCTCCCCCAAAGAAGATCTGAATATTTTTGGACTTCTAGGGTGGTTAGATTCAGATAGAGATAACTGGTCCTCTCTGACTAGGGGGAAACATTTGAAACAATTAGCCTAAACATATTAGAACTGGGCAGATAAACCAGATACACTTAGGGGGTAGTTGAGAGAGGTTCTGCAGTGCCCTGGTTCTTCAGTGTACCCTCTGGTGTACTCCATAGGTAGTAGTCTATTGGATGTTTGGCAGCTCATGTCCCCTAGGAGACCTGTTTATCAGGTAAAGCATTTCCCCTGGGGCCTGTGGTGAAGGTCTTTTAATAAGAGGGCCCCTTTCTTTTTGGGCCCCCTCTGGTCAAGATAGTAAGTATTTACACACTTATTGGTTTAACAAAAGCACCTTTGTTAGGGAGAGTGGACGGATGAGACAGTGATGTTTTCTCCTGTGGCCTCTTCTACTTAAATTCATACTCCCCTCGGCTGGCTTGCCTGTTAAAGCGGCCACTCTCTGTGCTTAGTGGAAGTTAGTTGCTCTCATTTTTTTGTGTGGTGAACTGAGAGCGCAGGGTGCTGGCAGTCACCCCATTCTTGTTGACCCCGAGTGTACCTTCACTGTCACTCTCTGGGAGACTTCAGTGTAGAGCAGACAGTTGAGAGAGTGCTGCTCTCACCTGAGGCCTCTTCTAGGCCCTAGGAACAGAATGCTTAATTTAGGCTCCCCTTGGTTGGACTGCCCAGCAATGCTTAGGCTGACAATTGTACATGGACGGTATGGAGCTGTGGACCCGCAACTCTGGCTCCCTAAGCACATGATCATTGGTGCACTGTCTACAGCCTGGCTCGCTTGGTGGCACAACACAGTGAGCAGGGATCGTTTAGTATGGCACAATGGGTATTAACGTTTCCATAGCATGAACAATGATGCAGCAGTTCTTCTTTGAAAGGGAATTTCAGGCTTAGTGATAGTGGCACCTGGTGGCTGAGGTTGGTGCTGCATGCTAATTGTTAGCTAGCTATTTTTTTTACCCTATCTTGCCTCTTGAGGGAAAAAAATAAGAGAGAGAGAGAGAGAAGTTTCTGGAGAGTGAGTTTCTGCAAAGTTTTTGGAGACTTGAGGGTTGTGTTCTTGTCTATAAAATCCATGAAACAGTAAGCCAGTCCATTTAACTTTAGAATGCTCACAACAATCTGGGAGGAATTACACCACCAAAGTATAGATTCATCAGAATGCATGAAGTCTGTGTATGAGCCTCACCATTGTGCCAGTTTCTCCGCTCCATCTCCAGTGTCTGGATTTTGTTCTCCAAAATATTGTTCTTCTCCTTCTCTTTCTCATATTTCCTTTGCCACTCATTAGACGTCATCTTGTGGTTAATAGAGGCTGTATTTTTTATTCTCTTTGCACTGCAGCACACACAGACAGGTCTCAGTCTCTTTTGACAACATGTTTCTATTTAGAGTTTCATGACCTAGGGTGCGTTTCCCAAAAGCAACTATGGTCACAAGTTCCGACGTTTAGCAATAGAGTTCAGTGGAACTAATGACCATAGTTAGGTAACAATGGTTATGGGAAATACACCCCTGAACGATCAAACTTATTAGTATGAGCACGTAAAAGACAACAGTGATTTGATGAAAGAAATCTGCTGTTAAACAGTTATAACCAGTTACAAAGATCTGAAGGAAGTAGCTGTTCTATTCCACATGTTTAGAAAAAAATATGTCGAAAAATTGTGTTGTCAGTGTTGTGAAACCAGGGACAAACAATGAAACAAACAAGTATAAACAGTATATTTGAAAAAATTAAAAAAAAGCCTCCTTCACAGTAATTTCTGAATGTTAACAGCATTTTGGAGGTGATGTGTCCAAGGTAGCAACACAGATAAAAGATGACATTGCAATACTGAAATTAAATCCATTTCATGAATATGAAAGTGGTTAATTACTTTATTATATATTTTTTACATATTAAATTGCAATCAGTTTTTCTTACATTCTGCGTTTAACACATTACATACTGCTTCTCAAGCATAGCTGACTGAAAACAAGCCATGTGCTGAGTAGCATGGCAACATCAAAGTGGCTCTGAGGCAGTATTTTGTTACGTGATACGTGAGTATCGCGATATTTTGTTTGGCAATACTGTATCGATATTATTAAAATAATACAAAAATCATACAAGATTCATGGCAGTTGTTTTGTTTTGAGTTCATATCCCGACCATTAGATAGCAGTCTTCATCTCTGAACTTAAACAGTGACAGGAAATACTAGCATTAGGGCACGCCTGTCACGAATCCGGTCCGTGGCCTTCCGGCCGATTGCCACTAGAGGTCATTCTACCATTACATTGACTCTCACACTACACAGACTGTTACATGTCACCCCGGACTACAGTTCCCATCATCCATTGCACTTACACAGCTGAATTCACTGATCACACAGCCGTCACTAATCACCCATACCTGTTTGCTGTTGTTCGACCCTGCCTGTGTTTGACCACTTCTCTTGTAAATAAAAGCTTGCACATGGATCCGTACGCCTCTCATCAGCCCCGTTACAACGCCACTATCATTAGTGTTAATATAGTTCGCTGCCAGTAATGGAGAATGAAAAGATTGTTCCAGTTTCGTTGTACAAAGCTGAAGTGTTGCGTCATTTGGGCTTTTGTGGTAACGTCCGCCCCGGGAGCGCGGCGCGGGTGGCACCATTCCGGTTCGCGAACAAATCGTTCTATTTAACTGGATCTTCTTAGTGAACCGATCGAACCAGTTCACGAAATCGAACTGAATCGTTTGAAACGGTTCGCGTCTCCAGTACGCACCAATCCACAAGTTACTTAAGTTATTCGGTTTATAAACGTGCCTGACTCTCCCTCTGACGCGAAATAAACCAATATCCCGAGTTATTCAGTTACTCCTAACAGGACATTGACTGAACTGCTGTGAAAAGAGAGCCAATGATGGGATGTGCACGAGCAGAGAAGCTGGACTGAGCATGAGTGCAGCGAACGTACACGCCGACTGCTTGCGGTTCTCGTTCTCAAGTCAAGAACCGGTTGCATCGGTTTTCGGATCAGCGGTTCACTCGACCGAGAACCGGTTTCTTTCAGACATGTCCGATTTGAGAACCGATGAGCTGATGATACTGCGCATGCGTGTAATTTTTTAAAGAATACAAAAAAAGCATGTTATTCAAGTATTTTGCTGAACATCAGAAAGTGTGATGATACAAATCATATTGAAAATTATGATTATGAATTACTGTCACTGTATGAGGATGTGTTTGGCTCGACTGCATTACAGTTTTTGAAACAACTGATGGAGCAAATTAAAGCATTACTCAATTATTTTTAAAAGATGAATGTAAGTGTGTTAAGGACCTTAATAAGATTAATGAAATACCTGTACAGTAATTATAGATGATGACACATTCACAAATTGTGTGTGTTAAATAGAACCGATGATGAGCACGAGTAGAGCAGCTGATATACTGAACGCGCATGCAGTGTGCCGGTTAGAGCGGTTCTCGTTCTCGAGTCAAGAACCGGTTGCATCGGTTTTCAGATCACCGGTTCACTCGACTGAGAACCGGTTTCTTTCGGACACGTCCAATTTGAGAACCGATGAGCTGATGATACTGCGCATGCGTGTAATTTCAAGAGGACGAAAAGCATGTTATTCAAGTATTTTGCTGAACATCAGAAAGCGTGACAGTATAAAACATATTGAAACTTATGTTTATGTTTGTTCAGTTGATGATTCTGTTAGGTTATAGGCTGAAGGGGTTTTTATGATCTCGGTTGGACCATAATAATTAAGACTCTGTTTAATAGGAACAAGGGATGATTTATGAAATATTTGTACTACTGTAGTTATAGTTAATGATGACACATTCACAAATTGAGTTTGTATTAAATAGAACCGATGATGAGCACGAGCAGAGCAGCTGATATACTTAACGTGCCTGCAGTGTGCCCGTTAGAGCGGTTCTCGTTCTCGAGTCAAAAACCGGTTGCAACGGTTTTCGGATCACCAGTACACTGAAACGAGAACTGTTCCTTTCGGACACGTCCGATTTGAGAACCGATGAGCGGATGATACAGCGCATGCGTGATTCAGCGTGAAGCTGCTGAACATGACATTTTTCCTCCAGTAAAAACAATAAATATCATACCAGGGCCGTATGTTAACTTTTTTTGCATATAGCACTGGTGCTACAGACACTGAATGTTTTTACATTAATGTTCTGTACAGGGCACACTGGTGCTGCAGACTGTACAGGGCACACTGGTGCTGCAGATACATTAATGTTCTGTACAGGGCACACTGGTGCTACAGACACTGAATGTTTTTACATTAATGTTCTGTACAGGGCACACTGGTGCTACAGACACTGAATGTTTTTACATTCATGTTCTGTACAGGGCACACTGGTGCTGCAGACACTGGATGTTTTTAAAATAATGTTCTGTACAGGGCACACTGGAGCTACAGACACTGAATGTTTTTACATTAATATTCTGTACAGGGCACACAAAATCCAAATCTTATGGTTTTCAGACAAACATTTTCTTTATTTGGAAAAAAGACACCAGGTTTGCTGTACTTGTAGGGCCACACAATTTGGCCAAAAATGTTGTTTTTATATATCAATAAAACTAATAATGATTATGGTTATAATTTCTAAATAAAAACATTAAACAAAATAAGGAAAATTACTTTTGTAATAACACTATTTCACTATAATATAGAAAACTGAGTATTTAAGAATAAATATAATAATAAATATAGCTGCAAGAAAAATAAAAAAAATGTACACTTCTTTACCCTGGAGAAAAACTTAAGGATTTGCAAATGTTTACCTCAAAGTTCGTAATTATTTTTGCTATTTTTTACTCAAATTAGGGTTTTGTGAGCAATAATGAGTACTCAATTAATGTAATTTCTTTTTCATTCATACTCAACGCCAGAGGGCGCCCTCGTGCAGAAACTCCACAAGTGAGACTCACTGATGACGTTCCAGGAAATTCAGCTTTCACTGTAGATGTAGCCTAGTAGCTGAATAACATGCAGATAGACGTTTTACTAGACGTTTTACTGATTAAACATGAAGAAAATAACCAATGACTGTGACAATATATGGTTTTATCTGTGCTCTTCAAGCCATCTTGGGTATTTTTATAAGAATAAAGTTTAAAATGCAATGCTAATTGATATAGCCTTTATCACTGTATAGAATAATATAAAGTGGCATGATTTCTGCCTCATTCTGTTTAATGAAACCATGTCAGATTTCAATAAGTTATTTCAAAGACTCGACTGATGTTGTGAATTTGGACTAAAACATATCATTATACTTTGTTGGACAACATGTTTGTAATATTTCCTTGTGTTTTCATGGTAACCAATTAGCAAGATAGGCTAACATACAAAGCCAGTTAGCCTTACTTAACAATCAAATTAATTCTGCATATTAATGTATTGTATTACCATTGGACGGTGGAGAGGTACTCATGTTTATGTAATGATCTGTTTAAATGAAGATATCTCCAAATACATTCTCACTAGTTCTTTATGAGGTTGAAGATATCTCCAAATGAACAAGGAGAAGTAGTTATTTTGTTTTTGATATCATCTTTTAATTTCTGACTAGTAATTATTGCAATAGTGACTAGTATCTATTTAAATATTACTAGTAAGCATTCATTAGATACTAGTACCTATTTAATAGATACTAGTAGTTATTCATTAGGTACTAGTACTTATTTATTAGACACTAGTGTCTTTTGTAATAACTACTAGTAACAATTCTTATCTTACTAGTCAGATCTGCTTTTTTACTCGTCTTATGTTATGACTAGACAACTGTGCTAAACACTGAGACAAGAAATAAATACACTTACAAGCTGCTTTTAACTTCTGCTGATTGACTGCTTCTCACAAAGACTATTTCTTTACACTGTTTTGCTGGCGCTTGAACACACTTTCCTGTTTATCCCAACAAATGGCCAAGCAAAGCGCACGACACTGATAAGGTACGCGAATATCTCCAAATGCATTCTCACTAGTTATTTATGAGGTTGAAGATATCACCAAATGAACAGGGAGTCGTAGTTATTCTGTTTTTGACATCATCTTTTAATTTCTGACTAGTAATTATTGCACTAGTGACTAGTATCTATTTAAATCTTACTAGTTGTCACAAATCCGGTTCATGGACTTCCGTCCCTACATTTCCCAGCAGCCAATTCACTAATCACATGTTCATCTGAAACCAATCACACACACTATATAACACCCACTCAGATCCTGTTCAAACTGCCGAGTATTGTTTAAGCGTTGATGCTGTTTAACGTAGCTACTTTACGGAGCCAGTTCCCTGTCCTTGTTTTAGTTCTAGTTC